CAAAGTCTAAACATTATAATTTAACAAATTTGCAAAGCCTTTCATTTAGCTAACACTGCAAGAATGTATTAGATGTCTAGGATGTGACTAAATGTACTGTGTTACATTGAGGGATTGACGTGGTGAACAGTTCAGACTTGGTTCCTACTCTTACAGAGCATATAATTTGGTAGAGGATACCAAAAAATGGCTAGACCATTACAGTGCAGTACAGGAAGTGACCTGAGGAGATACTTACCCTGGTCCTATGAAAGCCCAGAATAGAGCACCTAAGCCGGGGTGGGGATCAGTGAGGTGACACCTCAGCTGAAATCTGAGGGAGAAGCCCAAGTCAGAGCAGCAAAGCAGTGGGAGGGAGGCGTTCCAGCGCGGGTTACAGCACACGGAAGTAGCAGAGGTGAAAGCATGAGGTCTTCACGGAACCGAATATGTTCAGTGTGGTGAGCGGAGAGGTAGCCATGAACCACGTCTGCAACTAAAGCCTTTGGAAACTCCTCAAGCCTAGCTCTCCACCCCCAGAGACCCTCCACTGGCTCCTTCCTTGGCTTCCCCCTGCCCTAGACAGCTGAGAAAGCACAGCTGGGATGGGAGAAGCAATGTTGGAGGTGGGAAGAGATATGTCTTTGAGGGTGAAGCCACGGCAAGGAGAATTATGGAGCTGGCTTTTCTCCTTGGAATCAGGAAATGGATTAAAACAGGCCTTCACACAGTGCCTTATACATAGTTATCCATTACTCCATGAATATTAAATGGATTAGTGATTGGATACATAAATTGATTTTACCAAAGAAAATCCATACATGTATGATTCAATTATATTTATTTTATTGATATAAATATATTATATATATAATTCAATGTATATTTTATTTCTATTAAATCTTCAAGCCAATAGGAGATGCAGCAAATAAAGCATCTAGTTGATTTGGTGGCTACGTTTCTAGTATTTTAGTTAACATCATGGGGAGTGACAGGGAAATAAGCCTATTGGTTGTCTGATATTTAATGCAAATTAAATATTTTTGTTCTTATGAATATTTCTTATCATCTTTTATATGCTTCATAGGGAATGGAGGTTGGGCACTGTTAATAAGCTCAGAAAAAAATTAGTGTCCATAAATACTAAAGAATAAAAATCTAACAGAAAAAAAGTCTCTGGTATCTAAAGGGAAGGTGGCTTTATAGAAAAATTAACCCAATAACGTAATTGTTACTAAGGCTATTGCAATGACATCATAAAAATGTTGTTGTTATTATTATTATTGGTTTTTGATTTCAAAACTCTCTAGTCTTTGGATTTACATTATCTTCGGAAATCACCTTTTCCTGGATTTTGCTACGAAAAATTTGAAAAAAGAGATTCTTAAAAAAAAAAAGACTATCTTATAGTGTGGCAAATTCTCCTCTTCTTCTCCATGACAACAGATAAAGAAGCTGTAACCATGGCAACAGTAATGGGCCAGGGAGATTAGGGCCAGACTGGAGATTAGGCCTCCAAGAGCAAAGAAAAGAAGTCCTGATTGGTTCCTTATTGAGACCTTGTGTGAAGACAAGTTACTGTTGATAGAAAGCTGGAGGATTAGTAAGAGCAAAATTAATTCCCCTGTATAAAGTAAGACGCCATTCCTTTGTTAAAAACGTGTCCCTTCCTTTTCATATAATGACTTTTTAAATTGAGGTAAAGAGTCCATGATTAATTCTGCTCTGAGCTTTATCTGCCATCCAAGTCTGGACTAGCTCTGTGAGAAGCCACTCCGGAAAGCTTGGAGAGAAAACTGTCCGTGTGTGGACTGCCATTGCTCTCTTTCTTGGCAGCCCCTGAATGGGTAGAGAAACCAAGTCATTTTTGTCGTGATACCATCTATAAGTGAGGTGTTCTTGAGGAAAAAGTATTTGAAAATGTCTCTTCTGTTCTTTTAAAACTTATTTTTCTAACTTCTTGAAAATTCTCAAAAAGATTTCTCCCAGTCATCATAGATCACATTTTGTTTCTAAAAAATCTTTTGTAAAAAAATCTAGTAAGGATCCCATTTTCTAGAAACCTGTAAGTTGTATAGGTATTATATTTTGAGAAAATGCGCCATCTATGATTTCACATTGGTGCATTGATAAAGGGGGTATTTATTTTTTAAACAATAAATTTATAGACATGAGAATGTTTGGTATGAATCTTTTCCATTTTAAAGGATTTTGCCAAATTGACTTAAAAAGATTGTCTTCTTACAAATTTCATCTGACAGCATAAGGGCGTGCCACACCCTGCCAACAGTAGATACTAACATTCTTTAAAGTCTTTCTACTCTGACAGATTTTTTTTAATAGACTTTATTCTGACAGACTTTTTTAGATTTTATTTTAAAGCACATTTCTTTTATTATTTGTCAGGTTGAACCCTATTTTATAATAAGATTCTTTATTATTTTATCGATTGTTGGGCATTCTTTTTATAGTATAAATATTAACTATTGTCTTGTAGATATTTTGCAAATACTTTGGGTCAGTCTTTCCAGAGGAAACAACACCTAAATGAAGTCAAGAGGAAAGTAGGAGTTAAGTGAATGAGAAGAGCTTCCTAAAGAGTGGGAGCTGCCTGTGGGAAGGCTCTAGGGAATGCCAAGTGGTTCACCATGGAGAAAGCATGCTCAGTGTAAGCATCAAAAAGCCAGGGAATCTCCATGTGAGCTCCATGTGGGCAATGGCTTCATCTATTGTTCACCACTCTTTCTTCTGGCCTAGAAGAAGGGCTGTTAGGTGCTCTGTGAATAGTGGCTGAATGAGTAGAGCTAATGAATGTCACTTACTGTGGGCACCCACAAGCCTCTGCCCAAAGGTTATTTTCCTGGCAACAGGAACATACTAGACTATTACACAGGAAGGTCAATGCCCTTGGAATCATCCTCAATCAACGGCAGAGGAGTGGTAGATAAACATCCGAATTTACTTCCCTCAGGGATGGATAACTCAGAGGCCTGTTCTGCACTGACTTCCAGAGTCCCCCGTGGGGTTGCCCTTCAGTTTCCCACAGTGGTAACTGCCAGATAACTCCCTGCCGTCTCACTTCCCGGCTCCCCACTGGTAAATTTCTTTGGATCACCTTCCAAATAAAGTATTTGAACTTAAATCCTTTTCTTAGGGCCTCTGTGTGGAGGAAACCAAACCAAGAAAAGTGATAAACAGGAGCCAGGCCAGCAGGCAGATTGAAAAGTTTGGAGATTCCTTGAGGCAAAGGGTAGACACTGAGGATAAACAAACAGTAAAGTGATATGACCAGATGTGTGTTTTTATCAGCTTATTCTGGATGCTGTACAGAGAGCACATTGGAAGGAGATGAGTGAAAAGAGAGCAGAGAAGCTGGAAGATAGTTGTGGCATTTCCGATGAGAGAGAATGATGGTGTGGATATTAGTGTGGCATGAAGATAAAATAGAGTAGATTTACCTAACGTCCAGAAGGGGGAATCCTAGAAGAGGTGACTGAGGAAGAGTCAGGAATAGGGAGTACATTTCAGGTTTCTGGGCTGTACAGTTGAGGGGACAGTATGGTCAAGTAGACACAACTGAGATAAACAGCCCAGGAGGAGAAGCAGGCTGAATGGGCAGTGAGTGGGGAGGGAAAGAATAAAATTCACTTCAGTGTGCTAGTTTGAGCTTTCTATGGTTTGTAGAAGTAAAGGTTTTTGTCGAGAGGCTTAATATCACCCATATTTTTGAGAGAGATGCTACATATCCAGGCAACAATCTTTCCTCCTCCCCTCACCACTCCAAAAGATTGACTACCTTGCTGCCAGTCTTCCATTTATTTAAAATCCTGTGCTGATCAAGAAAACAAGGAGAAATTTTATCTATAAAGAAGTAAGCTGAGAATCTATGGAGCCAAAAATAACTTTGAAAGCCTCTGCAGTTCTTTAAAACCTCTTCCTCTGTATAACTGGTATCTATTGTAAATGGATAATGTTTCCAGAACCATTGGGAAATGAGATATCCACCCCCCCCCAAAAAAAAAGTGGATTTTCCAGCTAACGGGGGTTTAGTTCACAGGAAGAATACCAACTCAGTCAGCCCCTGGAGAAAGTGAACACAAGAATGGAGACTGACTTTGATAAAAACTAGAGAAAATGGCCTACAAAAGCCAATTTGAAGATGAAATGTAGGCAAATGGGTATTTGTGGTTTAGGGCTGGAAATCACCTGTCAAGATGGAGCACATGTTCCCTAGACTTGGAGACTTGAACAAATAAGAAGAAAACAGAGATATCCAGTAAAGATGAATTATGAATTCACACACACACATTTAATAAAAAACTTCTATTGCAGATTATAAATGCCCCACATGTTTGAAAAACCAGTTTTCCAGTTGTGGCTGATTCAGTTGTTCCTATGAATAACAACTGTTAAACTTCCTATAAATATAATGGTACTCTACAAGCATGGTACAATCATATCTTTATGTCTTGTGGAATTTTCACTTATTTCCTTTACTAGCAGATAGTCCATGAGAACTGTTTCTACTTGTTGTTAGCTCTCATCAACTTTAATATGCTGCTTTAAATGTTCTCTAGTCTTAGAAAATACATAAATAAGCTACTTCAAATTGTATCTAAAACAGTGTAAACAGTCTCTGAGTGCAATAAGATTTTGTAATAACTACATGGCTACTTGAGGCGTTTATCAATGCATGTAAGTCCATGGCTATGTTTCCCTGTGCCATGCCTAAACAGCATATTTTTTTCTTATTGTCATGGATCCAAGGAGTAGTAGGAACTGGACAAATATACAGTAGAATCAAATATGTTATTAATTAGCCACCCTTTTATAAACCACAAGAAATTCTAATGTACCTTTGATTCCATTTACTGTTTCTTGCTTTCTCTTGGTTTTCTTCATTTCTTTAGAACTTACATGAATGTACCATTCTGTGTTTGCTAATGGGTTCCTCTGCCCTTCTGCACATTTCCCACCTATGGCGCCAATACCTCTGACAGCCCCCTCTCCTTCCTCCTTAGCTATCCCAAGTTCCAGTATCCTCCCTTCTGCTCCCAGAGATGTGGTCCCCGTTTTGGTTTCCAGTCGATTCGTCCGTCTCAGCTGGCGCCCACCTGCAGAGGCAAAAGGGAACATTCAAACCTTCACAGTCTTTTTCTCCAGAGAAGGAGACAGCAGGTAGGTGCTACCAATAACATTCAGCCCCATCCACTGTCTCTTCAAATGTTTACTGTGGGGTGATGGCAGTGGGATACCCCAAGCAGGGACTTTGGAGACCATGTGAAATCTTTCCTCTGTGCCCTGTGCTTATTAATAAATGGAGATATAGCTCCATTACCTGTGTGGTTTTTTAAAGCAGGATTGTTTAGAGAACCAAATTAAATCATTGTAGAAAACTTCCTTGAAAAAAGACAAGCATGTGGATATATGATATCAGTTTTTTTATTTCCTTGATTTTCAAGGTGATAAACAGAAAAAAGAATTAAGCTGTATACTGGTAGAATAGGAGATGAAAGAACCACTGTGGCTACGTTGCATTCTCACCTCTGTCAGTGACATCATGTGATCTCAAGAAAACTACATAACTTCTCTGAGCCTCACTTTATTATTTAATGAAGAGGAAATAATAATACTTACACTGCAAGGTTTTGGTAGGATTAAATTATGTTGCATACATAAAGGTCATAGCAGAGCGTCTAGTGTACAGTAGAAGTTGTCGTTAATATTATTATTGACTAGACAAAAGTGAGTTCTATGTGTCTGGTTTCAACATTCAATCTACTGTTATTGTTTTTCCACTTTTTCCCCTTAAAATATTTCACCATTTTAAGACTTTGAAGTTTGGTTTCTAAGTCTAAGGCAGATATTGGATAAGTTCTAATTCCTTGTATAAGAATAAACTACTGTATACCTCTTCTTATTTCTTTACACTTATTTTGCATTCCATATTTTATCATTCTGATATCTGCAGTCTTTGTAAGTCTGATTCAGTGATCTCTTCCTGCTGACTCCTCCTCATAGTGGCTCGTTTCTCTGTATGTTTCGGTAACTCTTGATTGTTAACTGTAGTCCTTAGAAATTTATTCGAGGCCAAGGTTTAAAGTGCAATTCTCATGGGAGGATTTGCTTTACCAAAATGAGACCAGGTTAAACCAAATTTTTAAGGTTTACTTGGTTCATACAGGTCTCACTGATATTTTATTGGTTATCAGAAAGTCCATTAAGTATGACAACATTTGTTTTTCTGCCAATTTTAACATATAAACTCAAGTGAGTAAATGCCAACTTGTGGTAAGGAATTCCCAAAGAGATATTTTGTTGTTGTTTCCATTAAGCTAAGGATGAGACTGGTATGTATATTCACTCACCAGTTCTCATATAAGGTTAATTTCATTTTCTGGTTCACCTACCGAGGTTTGCCCTGTCAGGATCCTGACCATATGCAGGGCTCTCCAATCAGACCTCATACCCCACTTCACCTGCAAGCTTTGTTTCCTGGCTCCTTTCTCCTGTCGGTTTCTAAAACTCCTAGCTCCAGACCTCTACTGTTGGGCACATACCCTCAGGCAAACACCAGCTTTGCAGGTCTGCTTTCTTACTATGATATTTCTCTTACTTTGCTGCCGGCATATTCAGGGATAAAGAAATTTTAAAAAATAAAAAAGATATTGAATCATTTTCTCTGAATTTTAAGTGTGCTATAACAGAAGGGTTTTTCACATAATATCTAGTTTGCCATATTGTTTGAAATGGAATTTTGTAATATTTATCAAATGCCCATATGATTGGTATCATTATTCTGTATCATTAATTATTGACATTTGAACAGATACATTTGAATATAAGCATATTTAATGTTTAGAAAATTTTCTTTAAGATTAAAGCTTCAAACCACTCTGTAAACATCTCACTTAGAAAGGATCAGAAAGCTAGGATACTCTCTAAATGGACCTTTCCATCCTATACCTTAGGTGTTTTGTAAATGTCTCTTCTCCTCATCAACTTTTGGGATTTCTACGTTGCCAATTAAAGGTGCTCAAAGAGATCAGCATGTGAAAGTTCAGTTTGTTTCAGAGAAACACTATGTTGTCAAATTCCAAGATTCTGTAGAGAAGAACGCCTATTTATAAATGTACTCAACAAACTCACCTGAGTCTCTCACACAGGGAGGGAACGTCATCATGCTCTTCAGTAGATGAGAATTTTGATAGGGCAACTAGGGTTTTCATAAAGTGTCTGTCTGTGGACTTGGCTGAGTTCAGAGATCCAGGTCTTTTCTTCCGTATTAAACCTCCTCTTACGTCTAACCCGTCCACGTGTACAACCATTGGTAGGCAGAGTTTCCGGGATTTGGCAGCTTCTTTCTTCATCCTTGAATGAAGACTGCATTCGCTTTCTGTAAAGTTTACCAGCCCAAGGAAATGTGACCTATTTTATACATCACACATATGGGATTATTTTCGGGTGCTAGTGGTGGCATGGGGAAGTAGAGAGGGAAAAGGAGAAAGAAAGGGAGAAGGAGAGAGAGAGACAGAGAGAAATGACAAGTACTCTGGTGGGACTCAGTTGTTCACAGAGCTGAGCTCACCCTCATCCTGGCTGTCATCATTCATTCCTCTGAGGGAGAGTGGACTAGATGGTTCTCTAAGTGTTCCAGTACCTAGTGCAGTGCCAATAGAGAGCATGTGGGGAGAAGCCAGGAGTCAAGTGCGAGGCTTCTAGTCTCTCAAATTCATGAATGCTGTAAACACATAGTGATCTTTAGGAACTCCTCAGGATTTTAAAGGGACAATATAGCTTGGGCTGGCCAGAATGGTATTTAGTTCAAAATGCTGCAGTGTGATAATTGGACAGAACAGTACAACTTCTCTCATACTACTTCTCAATGCTTTTCTTTCTGGTTGGCAGCAACAAAGTATATCCTTTTTAAGTTTCTATTTTCTTTTACTATTTGACCTGACTTTAAAATGAAAGGAAGAAATACCTGTATACATATAGCCTATGTTCCCTAAGATTATTCATTACCATGAAGAAGTAGGCATTTGTTTTAGTCTTATCTCTGCAACTATTTGACTCTGTGACCTTATGATGAGTCTCGTAAGTTCTTAGGATCTCAGTGTGTGCAGTTGTGAACCTGGAGGTAATAATTCTTGCCCAGTTGTCTTCATGTATCCACATGGATTTCCTGGAGGCATCTTAAATTCAGCTTGCCCAAAATCATACTCGCTCTTTCCTCCTTAAATATATTTTTCCTTTCTTTTTTTGGTTTATGTTAGTACTTTGCATCCTGTTGACCAAGCGAAAAACCCAGTTATATTTTACTCCACTCTGTCTCTCAGCACTGCCATTAGTCATCAAGTCCTGTCAGGTCTTCCTCGGCCACAGCTCAGCCATGGCACCTTTATTCTATTGTCTTCATCATCACTTACCTGATCTCTGACAATAGCTTCTCACCTTCTAATTTATCCTCCTCACTGTCTCTAGTTATCTTTTTGAAATATGGTTTGCATCACTCACTCCACTGCTAAAAATTGTGAATGTTCTTAAGTTTAAATATGATAAAATTCTCATATAAATATATGCCCATAATAACTTCCAAGCTTCTTTGAATAGAAGTCTATTCCCAATCTATTGATAGATTATGGTTCCTATAAGCTATAATGGTTAAAAATATGCCACTTAAATAGAAATGGCTGGATTTGAAGATGGTACTACTATTTATCAGATGTGTGACTTTTGTGTATTTAATCATGTAAAAAACAAGAATAAAATCTCTCTGCTTAATGGATAAAATGAAGACATGGGAACTAATTGAAAGAATTCAAGTAAAGCATCCAGGACAGTCACTGCACATAGGTAGAATGGAGGGGCTTAGAATAGTGTGAGCTCAGAGACAGTAAGGAAAAGAGGCTGAAAATAAAGCTAGAAGGGTAGTAGTAGTAATAATAATAAGGATAATAATAATAATAACGATAATAATAAGAAGAAAAAGTTTCTATTTTTCATATGAACCATTTATTTTCATAACTTCTCACTGTTTCCTACTTACAATACCATTTTATCCTTTTCTCAGATATTATCTTTCTTATCTTTCAAGACCAAAGATCAGTCCTCCATACACCCTTGGCTAGTCACTTCCATGGTCAAGCCATGGTCCTTGTCAACACCAATCACTGCAACCTCTCCATGATCTCAATTTCAAACGTCATACTTACACTTCATTCTCTAGACTCCTATTTTCCTGTCTTCCATTTAGGACTCTGACTACAACAAACCTTTGATTCCATAGGACCTACAAGTCATTGATTCTACGGTGTGTTCATTGTCCCTCATCCTTCATGTTTTCCTTCACTTTTTAAACAGCTAAAATCCCGTGGCTAATTATTATAAACACTGAAATACACCAATATTTTGCTTTTTACTCTCTCATTTCATATTAATTTATTGGAAAACCAAACTCAATAAAATGCAGTTTTCTACCTACTCTTTACTTGCACTCTTGTAGATGGATATAACTGGAAGAAAATGTATAACTGTGCTGACTAGTCTTTAAACTCATAACTGCTCATCTTAAGTTTCCCCTTAAAGCTGTTTGAAATTATATCACATATATCAATAATCAGCCTCTTTCACACATGCTCCTAATGATATTTCATGCCTTTTCCTCTCTTCTCAGATCTCAAACACCTTCCCTCTTTCCTCACACTTAGTTGATCTTGCTTCTAATTTCTAGGAAAATAGTAGCAATCAGAAGGGAAGCTATACAGACTTCCATATCTGATTTATCTACCCAAGTATGTCCTTAAGCATGTAATGTCTTTCTTCAAATTTCTATAAAAGAACTGCCTATGCTCTTAACTAAGGCCAAACTTTCACTTATGCACTAGATCCCATCCTTTCAAAGGAACAAATGAACAAAAGGAACAAAACTTCAGCCATACTTTCTCTCTCCTTCTCATCAATTTTTGCTACTCTAGTGGATTGTGTCCATCAGCATACAAGCATGCAGTTGTACTTTCCACCTCAACAAATTTTCCCTCAGTCTGCTTCTCTCTCCTCTGTCACTCTGTTCTCTGTTCCCTTTTATAGCAATGTTCCTTGAGTTGTCTAACTTCACTCCAATGCCTTACCTCATATTCCAGTTGTGATTCTGTCCTTAGCATTTCGCTGTAACTTCT